TTAGGCGTACCGCTTTGAAGGGACAGTGGCAGGGGATGCCATAGGTGAGCAGGGGCTCCGGGCAGGTTGTTCCGGGCGGAATGAGGTTGTCGAGGATGCTGCAGACATCGTTGTAGGTGCAGCTGCCCAGTTGGTCAATGCAGGGAAGCTGGATCCAGAGGTCTCCCAGTGCCTTCTCCACCACCAGCACCGCCTGGAGGGAAGGTGTCCGGCAACAGGTGCCCACGGCTCCTCCAGCCTCCCCAGCCATCTCCCTCAGTTCCTCCTTGTGCAATTCTTTGGGGTGTCCGTGGGGCCACCGCACGCCCTCCCACCTTCACCTGCTTTCAGTTCCTCTCTGCCTGCAGGTTTCTCTTCCTCCAACCTCAACATTGACCCCTTAAGCAAACACGTCCCAGCACCCCACACAGCTGCTCCTTCCCCTCTCTTCACTGCCCTGCCCCAAAACCGGCCGGCAGCTCCTGTCCCGCAGCTCTGCCTGCAAGGCTCCCCCGGCACGCTCCCCACAGCCCCAGCCCCAAACAGGCACCGTGGCATTGCTAAAGAGAGCCCATGCACCTTGGGCAGAGAGACGTGTTCGGTCTCATCCCAAAAAGTCCCCAAAAAGTGGTGCAGGGCAGCCGGGCTAGCTTGGGGCTCCCGCAGCGGTGCCGTGGCATGTCCCTGGAGGGAGCAGCTGGATTTGGCCACTGAAAAACGAGTGCTGCAGCGACCGCTGGGAACACCCAAGGCACTTGGGGTTTCATTTCCCTCCCTGAGTCATTACGTTCCCAGGACATGACACATCTCAGCTGGTTTCTCCCACTGGAACAAGGTTGGGAGCTTCCCACTGGGCTGTCTGCTCCCACCGCGGGTCTCCCCGTGCCCATCGGCCCGTTCTGGCTGACAGAGCCCGGTGCGCTCAGCCCTTCACCGCTCCGTGCCTCATTCCCCCAAGGGCTGCTCATTCCTGTACCCACTGCTGGGCATTTCCCAGATACTGGTGGTTTCGGGAAGCTCTGCCCTCCCTCGTCCCATGGAGGCATCTATGGCACGTACCTTCAGAGGGGGGGCCATGGTCTTGCCACTGCTGACGGCCGCGCTGACACGCAGGCTCCCTGGGATGCTGATGGGGTCGGGCGCCACGGAGAGGCTCTGCAGCACCACGGGGTCCGTCCTGTCACCGCAGTTTTCCCAGGCAAAGCCACCAACCTGCAGCACCGAGAGACAGGAGGAGTTAGAGCCAGGGCGAGCCTTGCCCTGGGTTTGCAGGAGGTTTCCCCAGTGCTGGACACCCGACGGCCCCAAACATTTGCTCACAAACACAGCCAGAAAATGACCTTCAGCCCCCCTTCAAATGCCAAATAAATGTTTCCCTCTGCATTTCTCGCACTCTCAGCTCTCCGAGCCTGAGGGCATTGCAGAAACTCTCTGTCCAGCCCCCCTGCATGTACTTTACACCCAAAGAGGGTTCCCAGGGTGCAATTTCCAAACTTGTCTCAGCTCAGCCTCCAAACACTTCGCATGTGAACAAGGCCAGAAGCATCCTTCACACCAGCACCAACAGGACTGAGCAAGGTGTGTGAGAGCGAAGGCAAGAGAGCAAGTGGGGACCAGGTCAGAACAGCAGTGGCTGTGCTGGCCGAGGGGATACTGTGCCCTGGGGGGGCTGTGGGGCCAGCACAGCCTCCCAGCTTGGCCAGGACCAGCCCGGCTGTTGCGCGCCCTCATCCGCCAGCTCCAGCCACCTGGTCCCATGCAGGAGCGGGCACCGCGCTCGCATGTTGCATTTTAAACATGGCTTAACATTTCCATCTCCGCTTATGCTTGGGAGGCAGATAAGCTGGGCTCATCCCGCTGCCTGATACACCCCAGGGCCCTGATCCTGAGCTGGTTCAGTCCAAATGAGCTAGGGAAGCAGCATTGTCCCGTGGGATATTGAAAATCCACATGCAGGGGATGTCACCCGGATGGGGGGACAT